TATACTTTCACCATATATCTTCTGGAAGTTGATCTGTAAGTACAGTTAGGTTCACACAACCTGCCTTCTGATAGCTAAAACCTAGAAGTCTGGAGGAAATCAAGGAAAAGGGATCTGGGCTGGAAGCCTGGAGAGGTGGTTTAGCAGCAAAGAGCTCTTGCTGCTCTTGTAGAGAACCTGAGTTCAGTTCTCAGCCCCCACATGGTGGCTCACAACTTATTTATTTTTATTTTATATGTATGAGTGTATTGCTAGTGTGTAAGTAAGTGCACCTGTGTTGTGCAATGCCCACATAGGGCAGAAGAGGGCATCGAATTCCCTTGAAACTGGAGTTATAGACTGTTGTTAGCTGCCATGTAGGTGCTGGGAATTGATTCCAGGTCCTCTGCAAGAGCAGCCAGTGCCCTTGACTGCTGAGTCCTCTCTCCAGTCCCACATTTCATTTTTATAATAAAATTTGAAGGATTCTGTCTTTTAAGTTTTACTAGACATCATTTACTTTACAGGAATGCATATGTTCTACTTACTTATTTTAAACAGAATTATTATTTTGTGTGCTGTGCTTTATAAGATACACAATGGGAATGTGTTCATGTATTAATATAAATATGTTTATTTTTAACTGATTGATTCTATTATAAAACGGATATCCACAGTTGGTATTTTCTACAAAAAAAAAGTTTATTTAAACTACTATAATAGTAAAAAAGATATAAAAATTAGGATGAAGCTTGCCTCTTTCTGCCTGTGCTGTGGTGACTGGATTTGCTACTTTTACAGGGGGCTGAGAGTCATTGGAGGCATCACAGTGGCCAAGGGCAGCTGCCAGAGCAAACATCAGCACGTGTCTTCCTGAGGGAATCGATTTCTAGTTTTCATCTTCCTGAAGAGGTTGGATTTAGATCCTGCACATGTCTATGGCTACACTCAGACAAAATATTCAACTTCCTAATCACAGGCATGTTCTTCAAAATTGATCTTTTGTTCAAAGACTAGGAAAAAAATCTATTTTTAATGTTTAATTATAGAAACTATAGATATAAATGATATTTAAAACTAGGTGTTTTGTTATAAATAGGGTTAAATTTAATCTGTAAAAATCCAGAAACAGGGCTGGTAAGATGGCTCAGCTGGTAAAAGAATTATCCATACAAGCAAGAATGACATCTGAGTTCAATCCCTTGACCCCATGTAAAAAGCTGGGTGCTGTGGCACATATCTGCAATCCAGAGTCTCTAAAATGAGATGAGAGGCTGAGGGAGAATCTACAGAAACTTGCAGAGCAGCAGAGACGAGGAAAGAGCCTCCCCCTCCCCCCCAGGTGGAAGGCCAGCACCTGGAAGGCAAGAACTGACTCCAGAAAGTTATCCTCTTACCTGCCCACACAATAAATAGATAAATAAAAATTAAAACATCAGGGGCTGGAGAGATGGCTCAGCAGGTAAGAGCACTGACTGCTCTTGCAGAGGACCTGGGTTTGATTCCCAGTACCCACAGGGCTGCTACTAACCATCTTTAACTCCAGTTCCAGGGAAATCTGAAGCCCTCTTCTGATCTTGGCGGCATTGCATGACACGGATGCACTCACATACATGCAGGCAATACACTCATACACATAAAATAAAAATAATAAGTAAAATATTTTAAAAATTAAAACATCAAAAACCAATCAGGGAACAAGGCCTAGAGTACTGGGATGTAAATAATTATTGTCTGCAAGCATTTTAGCTTTAACAAAACCATTTTATACTTAGCTATGATGCTTCTCTTAAGTATTAATTCTCCAGATTATAAAGCTACTAAATTTATTAAATTAAATTAAATTTTTTCAAAAAGGGATCTCATGGATTCCGGACTGGGCTGAACTCCCTGTCTAGCTGAGCATGACCCTGAACTCTCCACCCTCCTGCCTCTATTGAGATTACAGGCTTGTGCTACTACACTTGGTTTATGCAGTATGGGGATTGATCCCATGTTTTTGTGTATGCTGGGCAAGCCCTCTCCCAGCTGAACTACATCCTCAGCCCAATTTATACAAATTTTAAGCTAAGCATTGATAAACCTATAAGGAATACCTAACAGACATCACTATATATTAACAATATGGCAGATGTGCCCCTATGGTACCATTTTCCCTCAGAATAAATGAATGAAACATGTTCATTCTTGTCAAAGTAACTGATCTGAAGCACACAGTAGATACAGGTTCTTGAAGACTAACACAGGATGGAATAGTCTGAGATGTTGACAGGCATTTGGGTTCCAGGGACCAGGGTAGGGAATGAGGGCACTGACTGCAGCTAAGGGCAGGGGTCTTGTAAAGGACAATTACATTTGAGTTCTCAGATGTGCTAAGTAGGACACATTCTTGTTTAGCCCTGCAGGGGCAACACTAGTATTAATTATACAAACAGTTTTTCTGGTTGGGGAAAGAAAATTGAGAATGACTCAGCAAGAGCTTTCAAAACAATGCCTTTACTTATTTATTGAACATGGTCTTAAAACCTCCTGTCTGCTCTGTATGTTGGGGGTTCAAACTTTAAAATCTAGAGAAAAGAGATCAGCACTGTAGTGGTCTTCCAGAAACCACATCTTTGCTAAGAGGACTCAATGAGTTCCGATCCACCTCTTGGTCCCCTTATTTGTTTACTGTAAGTAGAAAATAGTTTAGACTATTCGTTTCTTGCTTTTCGACAGCTAACAAAAACTTAGTTACATCTTAAAACCAGCGATGATTGTTTCGACTGTGTGTGTGTGTGTGTGTGTGTGTGTGTGTGTGTGTGTGTGTATGTGTGTGTGTTCGCGTGCGCGCGCTGGTTATCTTCATACTTTTGTCTAGATGGCAACTTGGAACTGGAACAGCGTTTGTCAAATAAAGATGTAAAGGCCACAGAAGACTTTTTACAATTCCCCACCAAAATGACAGTTTAAGATCCAGTTTGAAAAGGAAAGTTCCAATCGCCAGTCCCCCGGAAGCTTGGGGGGGGGGGGGGGGGCCTTACCTATTT